TTGTGATCTCTATCAGTTGACTTTTTGGCACCTGTGGATCACTTGCGTTCTTGATAATTTCTATGAATTTGTCTTTCTTCTATATAGAGCTATAGAAGATTTTCTTTTTTTTTCTTTTTTTATTATCAGAGGTATAGGATATATTGAGTAAGGATCCATTCCTTATGAAATGTTGCTTTGTCTATTCCTAGGAGGTTAGCAATAATATTATCTAGAATGGTAAAAGTCTTTGATATATGAGTTGTTTCTTCTTTTGGATCTTCTTCTTTTTGCCTTATCAACTGTTGGGATGCCTATAGTTCTGAGGTTTCATTATGCTTTCTTGAAAGTTTAATTAAGGTATTCAAGATATTCTTCTTCCTTTTATTTACTATATGAAGAATATGTTGTGCCCTATCCATGTTGACTATGTTATGTGATTATTGGATGAGTCATACTTTGCAGATTAACTCTGTTTATTTGTTTACTTATTCAGATAGTATTACTGGGAATTCCCTAATCTATCTGTGTACTAGTAGATCAATTGTGGGGTAAATATGAGTTGCAAGTTGTTTATCTGTTTATTTGTTGATTTTAGTAATATGTATGCTGGATCTATTGAGGGATAAACTGAATGTGAGAAATGTATTTTGTGATTAACTAAAATACGTGTTGAGCTTGTTTATCTGTTCAGAGACACATCACGTAATCTGTTGTTATGTCTCTATTGTCTAAAAAAACATGTTCATATTCATGTTATGTGCTAGTTATTTATATGTTGCTGATGTGTTGTTATTGATAATTCCTAACTATTGCTTTTAGGTTTCTAATATCCTCTTGGGTCTTACAAATTTTGAGTTTTGACTGGTTTATCAATTGAGATTACTATATTGCCAGGTTCTTTCTAATGTCTAGAAAGGTGTAAATCTGCACTGGTCTGGTTAAAAGCTAGAGGAGTTAATGTTGGGTTCTTTGACCTTACTGTGATTCAGATTTACTTTTGTTTTTCCTTTCTCTTAAAAGTTGATAGATAAAGTACTAATGTTATTATTATGTACTTTTCTTCTGGTGGCTTGTTTATAGAGCTTTATATATTGTTTCAAGTGAGGTGATATAGTTGTGTTTTTCTTTACTGTGTTTGCTGAGCTTGAGTTGTATTATCTTTTTTCTCTAAACACTTATCAAGAAAAGAAATTTTTTAGGAAAATAGTAGATTAGTGAAAAGAGTTTTTACAATTAATTGTTCTATTTATCTCTATCAGTTTTTATATTGATTAACAAATATACAGTACTAGTTTGACTATAAGTTTTAAAAAATTATAAAAAAAAAAGTATATTTAACATATTTATTAATTAATTAAACAAGTTAATTTAATCAAGAATTAAAACTTTTTTATTAATTCTTTGATTATATTCAAAAAAATATTTACAAGAAGTTTTTATATTTTTTTACTAATAAAAGTCTTAATATTTTTTTTAAAATAATTTAAAATATAATTTCAAGAATCATCTTTATTCTTTTTCTTATGTTTACAAACTTTTTTACTTAAAAACTAACCTTTAATAATTAAGAAAAATCAATTAATATCTTTAGTAACAATAATAAGAAAGTTTTCAAAGAAGAAGAACTGACTATAAGATATATAAAAGTTTATTTTTTTACTGTAAAAAGGTTTATCTTCTCTCTTTTAATTGTTTTGATTCTCTTAGAGTTTCTATTTTTATGGTTTTTTAGAGAATTTTACCTACTTTAGTTTGATCTTAAATTTGAAATAGTACAAATCTTCATTAAAGAGAATTATTTGATATGAAATATATTAATTTTTGAAATATAAACAAATCCCTATTGATTATACACACATATTTTGATGATATCATTAATAATTGAAAAGAATATTCTAAAAAATATTTACCTTAAAAGCTCAAGTTCTTTAATAAAACATCCATAATATCAAAAGATCAAGTGATAGATAATGTGAATTGAAAACTTCTATTTCTTAATTAAGTTCCTCAAATGGTAATAAAACTTTAATAGAAAAAATTGAGGTTTAAATACTTTCCTTGGAATATTTTAATTTAATGCTTATTTAAATAAAGGATCAGTTAGATTAACTTGTCCAATATTATAGATAGTAAAAAAAAAAAATTTTTTTTTAAGATTCAAGTGATCATTCCAATTATGCAGATCCCTTTTGAAAAGAAGTTTTTTTATTTTTGGATTTTTTGGTAGATCTTGAATTGTCTCTTTTCTCAATTATTTTTTTCCTTTCCCTTTTTAGTTTAGCAATTTATTGGTTTTCGGGTCTATCAACAATAATAAACTCTTGTCAATGATCCTGATAGATAGAAATCATAATCAATTTATTAGGAAATATAATATTGTTCCCAAAATCTGACTTAGAGTATTTATATATGAAGATGAGCTAGTCATGTTGTGAAAGTTTGTAAACTACAATATGTAGATTTTGTTTTAACTTCTCAATAAAGACAAACCATCATGGCATGATTGCAGGTTAAAAAAATTTTTTTTAATAATTAATTGATTATATATTTGCAAAAATATATTTGAAAGTCAATTTATCATAAAAGTTTGAAATAATTAAACTAACTTGACTAAATATATTATAATTATAGTATTTGGATACTTTTTTTTCTAAAAAAGTTTTTGGATATAAAAAAATCATTTATTTGATATGCTGTTTTTTTTTTTTTTTTTTTTTTACCATATAAGAAATACAAATACAAAAAATACAATATTTAAAATATACGAATTTCAAAGATTTAACGGTATAATAAAGGTGATAGATTATTGACTTTGTGTTACTAAAATGTAATAAAAGAAATTTACGAAACTTATGACAATATCGAGTTATATTGCTATTCTACGTTAATCGTGATTCCAGATTTCATTTATTTTTATGGACATAAGATTATATTTAGAAACATATGTTAAATTGCTTAGTAATTAATCAAAAAATAAAGTTAACTCTTAATCGAAAACCCGAAAGTATCTCACGTTAGTACAAGTAAGAAATATCATCGAAGTATAATGATATCGATTATCTGTCAGAAACAAAGTTGATTAATATACGATTATAAACTCGACATTTGATGATCTTGTCGCAGTGCCCTACTAGCATAAAGAGTCGAAATGCATGCGGTTACTAATAGTCCTCTAGTGATCGGATTCGTGCACGTTTGTTATGACTCACCATTTTTAAGTTTCTGCGTTGAGTGTAATATGCGATGATGGCAAGTATTTTGTGTGAAACATATACAGCATATTGATTGTTGTATATTTGCGTAAACAATATAGTTTGAGAGATTTCCCACGTTGTGACAAAGGTCTATAACTAATAATTTTGCGGAGATATATTCGGTCGATAGCAATTAGTTTGCAGAAAAATCTCCTGTCAAAGAGGTGAACAAGAAGCGAATGTGTGCATACTTCGCAAGAAAGAAATAAGCGAATCATCCTCATCTCGCATTCTAAGTATTCCCATTACTTACTATATCTGTAGAAGAAGTGGCGAGATTGATAATGCGATAAAGATAATATTACCAAGTATGTACTAATACATAAATATAAGAGCATTAGCATTTATGCACGTGTACAGTATACATTAATATCCCGTATATATTCAGGTTATGCGATATTAACTATGTATCGACAGATCACTAACATTCAACAATAATCAGATTTGCGGCATCACAATAATCAGCAAAAATCGGGTATATATTGGGCCAAATATGGAAAATGTGAGAGTTACAGTACGTGGCCACGCAATAATCAAACTTGTATTTAATTTAATATAGGAAATGCATCAACTTAATGGGGACAATTGAAGAGGAAAGAGAAAAAATAATGCCTGCGAAATTTGCATACGCACACGTATTTTGGAACTGCAGAGTGTCGCATTTGGAAATTTATGCTGTAATACGTTAAGTGAAATTGCTCATAATATCAAGTAGCAACCAAGCGTTAATATTATATCTTCTTTTTTTTTTTATTCAGTATTTCGATTGCCTATCGGCAAGGCGCATCTACACAATCAGCTAATCATTCCAAGTTTTCTTACCATCGGTATGAAAAAAAAAATAATGTTGATTTTCTTAGTCGTGAAGGTCATAAGATACTTGTGTGTGAAAAAGCAATAAGAATTGGTTTCTTTACGACAATAAAATTCTTGGCGGGTCAAAATAATAATTCAAATAAGGTTATTATATATTTGCAGATAATCAAGAATCTGAACAATAATAATATGTATAATTTTGAGATAACAGAGTAAAAACGAAAAACTCACTCGGGAAATAGAAAAATGAATTGATGCGCTGTCTAATAGAATTATTCAATAGAATACAGAACCCTTTCTTTTTTTTTTTTTCCTTTCCTGCGAAAATTATTTTTGGAAAACAAATACATTGTTGTTTATTATAGATAAATGTTTTGGATGTTTGTGATTATATAAATAATGCCTATTATTATATAGAAAGTATTACAGTTTGGATTATTAATATAGATCTTATTGTTGATATAAAGGGAACTTAAACTCGAGTCTATTCCGATTTTCGTTGTCAACCCAAATTCCTCTCTCGCACACACACTCAGTTTATAATAAAACAGGCCCCTTTCATTATCCCTGGCCTGATTTTTTAATTCCTCGGATTTATTTCAAAGGTTCCTACACAATTTTAACTCTCGTCGATTAATTATGGTGAACAACATAAATATGGTTTGTTCTGATAGACCATCGATTTGTGGGTATCAACCCGGTCAACTAGACAATTCTCGTAGTCACCAACCTATAAATAATCGAGTGAAAGAGTTGACAATGAGGCACCACATATTCAAGATTCTTTGGAATAGTAATTTTTCATCGCCGATCGAAGAACGACTTTTATCTGGTGGTGCTTGTGTACTTGTCATCGGGTAAATATCATTAAGCGTAGACAACGTTTTGCCTCGATTATATTCATTGCTTACTTTTCATTCGTCAAACTACAGAAACGATCCCTCTGTAATGACATTTGATCTGGCTGCCGCTTATCCACACTCCACATTTATAGGCCTTGAAATATTTCCTTCACATCTTTCCTCACCGCCGCCTTCACCCTCTTCGCCGTCGATTGAACCCCCCAATGCCACCATCCTACAAACTCATCCGCTAACGTCGCCTCAAATCCCATTCCCAGATGAATGCTTTGATTTTGTATATTTTCATTCCTTGATGCCCACTACCGAACTACGCGATTGCACGGATGGTTCACGTGATAATTCCCGTGAATTTGAAGGTTGGTTTAGAGGAAGAAACGCGTATTGCGAATCTCAAAAAGATTTGCGCGATCGTTTTCACGGGGAAAAAGGGCTGGTAAAAGATATGATCCGGGTGTTAAAGCCGAATGGATGGATTGAGTTTATGAGGATCGAGAACATGTGTGCTTGCGAGTTTGGAAGTGTCACGAGAAAAATGATTAATGGTTGTAAGTAATTATTAAGTTTCTATACCTGACTCTTTATGTTGCGATTAATTTTCACACATCATTATTATAATAGATCTTGGATATATAGACGCAAGTGCTATTGATACATTAAATCTTAAAAACTCGAAATCTCTTCTCACCTCCAACAAAAGACTTCGTAACGTCACTAATGAATCCAAGGATACTTTATTGGGAGCCAGAGGTGGACGAATTGGCGAATTGGTAATTAGAACAATCTTTTTTTGGTTACTTCGGTTCATTTACATGACTTCATTTTTTTTTTTTTTTTTATAGCTAGCAGATACCCTGTTCAACCCTATAATTTCAAGCAGATCTTCGTTGTCAACATTCATGAAGATCCCCCTGCAGGAACTTAACGAAATGTTTGACGTGATGAATCGAGAAATTAATGAGTGTAAAACTTACTGTCGATCATATAGGTTGGTAAATAAGACAAGAAAAATTAAATGTTTGTTTAATCTCGAGAATAAGAATACTAATAGTCATTGCTCCTTTTTCATAACTATTAAATTTATATGTACTAATTAAGAATCTACTCGAGGAAAATTTAATGAAAATATTTAGAAGAAATCTAAAAAAAAAAAGAACAAAAAACAACAACAAAAAACAAAAAAAACAAATGCAAAAACAATATATATATATATATATAGTACATACAGTATAAAAGACGATATCGAAATTCCCGATTACAGTGTAAATTTAACTACTCATTACTTGTAAATGTAAATTTTCTTGCAAAAAAAGTTATTTCTTATTTATTCCTCGCGATTGTCTTTAATGAATTTGCACGCATTTTTTACAATTCTGTTTATTTGGGGAATTGGGTATTTCTTTTCTTTTCTTTTTTCCCCTCATTTTCGAACTGTGAAGACACTTATTCCTCGCCTCTGAACATTCGTTCCTGCATTATCCTTTATCCTCCCTTCTTGACCGACTACCTTAAGGAACTAGTCGAGATATCTGTGATATCCCGATAGTTCCTCGTCAACATTCTATATTTTGACAAACAACTTCTGAACAATTTCTGTCATTACAACATTTTTATTACGGATAGTCTCAATATAATTTCCGAGTAAAAAGAGCTCGTGATTTCACACATAACCGAAACTAAAGTCCTTTTGTTACAAATATTTTTCGCTCAGGACTGCGTGATGGTGAAAGGTACTGTACGTGAGAAAATGCAAAAATTATCATGTATTATATGATACATGTTCTGTATAATTTAAAAAAATTTTAATCACGTTATTTTAATCCTTCCAGTATATTAAAGATGTAATGTAATTATTGGGTAATAGAATTATTATAATATATTTTATACAGTACGCATAATTGCTTTAAAAATTTGTTGTTAAACAATAAAATAAAAGAACATGAACAATTAATATTACTATATTAGTAAATAGATTATATTACTTTCAATAAAAATTATAAAAAACCAATATTACTTAAGAGTTGCAAATTATATAAAAATTATTTTTTTTTTTTATATGCTGACTCGGCCTTGTTTTATTTGTTATGATTTTACAGTGACATTACAAAGATTATAATATTGAATATAGGTATATTGTCTGTCTATTTACGAATAAAACTCAATAGAGAGATTTTTATTAAGAAAACTATTCACCTTATGGTCTATTGTTATCCAACTAAAGAAACTAACTGCTAAGGTTGAACTAGTGCTAAAGAAATTTTTAAAATGAAAAATAAGTTTATGATGCATACATTCATATAGTTGTTAACCAGGTTTATATATTGGCTTTTAATGTGATATTCTTTTTTGTAAGGAAAAAGTCAAAAGTTGTTATATTATATTTAGTGACCATTTATTTTTTTTTAAATATTTTTACTTTGCGTTTTCTTTTTCTTTTTTTATTTATGGTCAGGTCAATATAGTATGTTTATTAATCTTTAAGAAAACCAATAAAGATATATAGGACAATTATATTATGGCTAAACTAAATCTCATATTAACTTATTTGTTAATAACTTTCACTTCTCAAATAAGCTTCAACCTTTAAATGTGACCTTGAAATCAATATTTTACTTCGTAATAACTTTTAAATGATACCTTTATTTCTACTTTGTGCTTCTATTTTTGAAAGTATTTTTATTTGTTTAATTATATTTTGTTAAGAAATTTTATTGTTTTAACTTATATGTCTGAAATATATTAAGTTCTATTATGTTTTTTCTTAAGGTGATCTTTTATTTTATAGAAAAAGAATTTAAATATTGCTTTTTTATAAAAGTTTTTAAAATATTTTATAAAGTTTAAATATACTTATTCTATTATTTGATTGATTATTTTTTTTAAACTCTCTGTCAGGCTAAATATATGTACTTTATTAAATATATATATATTTTACATTAATAATTTATTGCTAAAGCTAAGTCTCTATCTATCCATCTGTCTCTATTTTAAAAATTATTAAAACTCTAAGTGCAACTTCAGGAGTAATTTATCACTTTATTAGTAGTTTAAGTAAAGACTTTTCCAATTGTTAACTTTATTGCCTATAGGTCACTACCACAGATCACTCTGTGAGATTCTGATAGAACTTAAAACTCAACTATTTTATTCTATACTCTATTCTTTTTGTTAAAATTTCTCAGAGGCTTTCATCTTCAAGGTTTTTTTCTTCAGATAATAAATTTTTTTTCTTTGGGGTTTTTGTTTTCTGGCTTGATAGACAAGGAGGTCTTTTTATCTTATCTTTTTTATTAATTCCTTATATTTATTTTCATTTGATTATCATTTCACATCTCTTGTTTCAAACTTTTTTTCAGATTTGGTTGTAAACTCTTTTTTGCATTTTTATTATTCACTTTCTTGTTATTCTTCCTATACATTTATCTTGACATTTTAGATCTTTTACTTCTAGAATAAAGTCAGTTCTTATAAGGCTAGTATAGAAACTTAGTATATTATGACTTGTTTCAGAATTCTGTTTTGCTACTTTGGTAATTCATTTGTCAAACTCTCCTATTTCTTCACAGTTATCAATAATCAATCTGGAATTTTTTTCTTCAGCCTCTCTTTTTCTTTCCCACAATAGCTTTTTAAAGTTTTTAAGGATTCAATCTACTCCTTTATTCTATACCTCTTGTAGCTTATCTTTATAGGCTGAACATTCTAATAAGTGTTCTATAGTTTTATTTTGTTGACTACATGTAATGTATTTTATTGTTTATATAGATCCAGTTTTCTTATAGTCAACTTACTTAAGATGGGTAGCTTATTATTGACCAGTTAAATAAGAAAGCTTCTTTATTAGGATTGTTTAAAAGACATATTCCACGTGTGTCTATCTTTAACTCTTTCTTATACTAGATCCCATATGTGAGCCTAGTGTTCTGAAATCTGATGACTACATTTTTTCTCTGTTCTGTTTTGTTGTATTCTCTAATAGGTTATTGTCTTATTATTAATATTCTTAAGGAACTGTCTAATTGAATTGTCTAGAGTTGTTCCTTGCCACTTGATTTCAGTTATAATTTTATGTAAAGTGAGATCTTTTTATTTAATCAGTGAAAATTTTAGGGCTTCCTTAGCTAAGGTATCTGTTTTTTCATTATAAGAGTTATTTGAGTGTACCTTGATTTTTGTGAACTTTAGATCAATGTTTTTCTTTTTTATTAGCTCTACTATATGTATCCATAGGAACCAATTTTTTTCTTTGGGTCATCTCTTGTATATCTTTTTAGGTCTTTTTTTTCTAAGAATTTCTACTTAAAAATACAGTATATAACAAAACTTTTTGAAATTTTTTAAAATACATATTTTTGTTTATAAATTAATAAAAAATTATTAAAATTATTTAAAACTTTATAATATATTTTTTAAAGCATAAATATAAAAAAATATAAAAAAAAAATATTAAAATTATTAAAAAATTTATTAAGTTATTTTATATAAAAATCTTAATTAATTTTGTTTTTTTAATTATAAAGAAATTATTTATGAAATTTTATATAAAATAAATAATTTTTCATTGATTTATAAAAAGTAAAAATTTTTTTAATAAATTTCCATACTGATTTTATATAGTAAAAACATAATAAAAAATTTATAAATCAATTTTATAAGTAATTTTTTTGAAATTTAAATAAAAAATTTAATATAAAATAATACAAATCTTATATAAATAGTCTTAAGTAATCTTATTCTTTAACTTTTAAAAATATATATTTAAATTTTTATATTATTTAAATAATTTTTTATTAAGTTATTAATAAATAAAGAATTTCAAAAGTTTTGTTATACACTGTATATACTTGACTATCTGTAAAGATCTCTACCATATTTTCAATTGAAACTATTAGGAGATTATTATAATTGCTACTAATTCTGTTCTTGTAGATAGGATCAATTGTTTACTCCTATTTGGAACTTTCTTTTCATTCCTTCTTTTTCTATTTGGATCCAGGCTGCTCTTATTTTCATATCTTTTTTTCCATAATTAGTAAGTGATCCATCAAAATAGATGATTAGTTTTTCTTTAGATTCAAGGTTATGTTGAAGTACAGTATATCTATTAAGTGGTCTTGATATGCTTCTTCTTTAATATATTTTTTGATAATAGATTTTTTCTTGATTTTGATATCCACATAATTTACTCTATCATTTTAGATCTTTAACAAACCTTAATTACTATAAATCACTTCTTTGATCTTTTTTTTAAGTATTGTCTTGGGTTGGGGATTTTTAAGTCACATGTTCTTTTGATAAACTTTCTTGTATTGAGGTATAGTACTATATATTTTTTTCCTATTTCTTTTTCAATGATATAATTACTATTTGATGTTGTACTTTCCAAACATCCCAGATATTTTTGTATATTGGTCTCCTAATTATTGTTAAAGTTATGACTAATAAAATGCTCTATTATTACAATATTTTTCTTTGTTTCTTGTTTTAATTTCTTCCAAGTTACTTGATTTCTTTTATTTCCCATCACTATCTATAATTTTTTTTGCTTGTCTCGATTAGGATTTATTTTTGAGTATTCTAATTCCCATTTCAAATAATTCTTTCTCCTGGATCTTATAAGTTACTTTAGTTGTTCTTCTTAAAGATTTTTGACTATAATTTGAAACCATTTTGATATAGATCCTTTGCTTATATCTTATAGGAACTAAAGAATTGTCAGTCTCTTATTTTTTTGATTTTTTGATTAATTAGCTAGTTCAGATACATTAGT